CCACAGAGCGGTTGGGGGGGGGGGGGGGGGGGGCAAGCTGTCTTACCAAGCTGCTTAGCAAAGACTGCATGGACTGGAATAAGACCACGTGCAGTGTTCAATGGAACCTGGGAGGGAATGGTGTCCAAAAATTACTTTTCATTTGTAATGATAATTCTTCTTTTAAGCTCACTGTCCCAACTTTTACTTATGCTCAGCTATTCCGTGCTCCCCTGCAGCTCCATTCTTTTGCAGTCCTTACCCTAACACACACAAGGTTGATTCTGTCACCCCCCTCAGTCATGTGACAGTGTTCAGGCCCAGCATCTTGGTCTGTAGACTCAAAGATTATCACAGCAGGAGGTCACGTTACCGCCATACCTGGATATTTTGTGATGGCTTCAATGTGGGGGGGGTGGGAAGGTGTGCGTTAGTGGGTAAAATCAGCGTCTCTTTGAAGTGTCCTATTTTTGCAGTCAAAAACACACATCCTGAGCAGTTTGAAGGTGAAAGTAAAGTGTCAAACTGAGGGAAATACTGGGCTTCTTCTCATTGTCATATGGCGCTTCTTAGTCTTTGACCATTTGTTAGGACAGACAGGGTTCAAATGTAGTTTACAACTGACAGTGAGATCTGCCAATGCATTATAGACAGGGTTAATTATGGTAAACATTAACTACTTCCCTACCGGGGTCAACCCCCTCTTACCATTTTTACTGCACTATGCTCAAATACCATACTTGCATGCCCAGCAATTTAGCATGGTCTTGCCATGATCCACTGCTCCCCCACCGCCTCATCCCATACATCCATCTTTTGACATCTTTGGGAGCCGCCTGTCACTTCTGCATTTTTGCAGTCAGCCCCGATGCCTTTTCACCAGGTCTGCCCTCCTCCAGCTGCTGTCTGTAAGCTGATGCCTCCTGGGACATATATGACATGGATATCCTAGGGGGCTGCTGGAGCAGGGTTGACATCATTCTCGCCTAGGTGACAATGGTGGGGGGGAGGCAGGCTAGAGCAAGAAATTGGAAAAAAAAGTTAACTGAGAAAAAAAAAATAGCTTTCTAAGTTTGGGGAGGGTTGCAGAGATGGAAAGTGATCTTTGGGAGGGTGCGTTAACATAGCAGGGAAAAAAATCAGTCCTGGAGTTTTCAGAAAAGAGCGAGAATCCGCTCCTAGCATTGAAAATTCACCCCGAGCCAGACTCGGGATTACCGCCAGGGAGGTTAAGTAGCAACGTTTAAAATGTTAATAATATAGTTATGCTATGTGAATGGGAACATATAACAATTATAAAGTCGGTTATATATCAGTTTGGTTGCAAAAGTGGGGTATACTTCTAGCCATCTTATATGAATATTATAAGAATATTTATATCTGAGAAGTGTGCCTATACAAATAATTCCTACAGTTCACGATCTCTAGGGTAGTTGAAGGGCCAGCACAACTGAAAAAAAACTTCTGATATACCATGTTGGAGAGGGTATTAAATGCTCTGACCGATTATCCAATCATTAAGATATCACATCGTTTTGATGTATTTATACAGGTCTAGATATAGCATATTAAAAAAAAATTTAAGTTTATATTGATTCCTTTCTGTTTCAGGGATTTTCACCTTACCAGAGAGCAACATATCGTTATACCCCATTACTTGCCTGGATCCTAACGCCAAACATCTACATTTCAGAACTATTTGGGAAGGTGTTATTTGTGTTGTGCGATGTTGTTGCTGCTTACCTGATCCACAAAATCTTGAGACTGCAAGGATTAGACAACTACTCTGCAAAAAAATATAGTGCTTTCTGGCTTTTTAACCCTTTACCAATGACTGTATCCAGCAGAGGAAATGCAGAATCTGTTTTGGCTGTGCTGGTCCTGGCAGCATTGTATTATCTACTAAAGCGCAATCTTGTCAAAGCTGCACTCCTCTATGGTTTCTCTGTGCACATGAAGATTTACCCAGTGGCTCTCCTTCTACAAACTCTACTGTTTCTTCAAGCACAGAAGACTACAAAAAAGGCAGAACAGGGACAGTTTTCAATACTTAACTGCTTTGGAGTGGCATGGAAGAGGCTTTATAGGCTACTAAGTTGGGAAGTTTTTGTCTTTGGAGCCATGATGAGTCTAACATTGTTTGTGCTAAACTGTGCTTTCTATTATATGTAAGTTTTTTTGGGGTTTTTTTTTTCTCTTTTTTCTTGTAGTCTTTAATAGTTATTAATATAAGTCATACTAGTCATATAAAACAAGTATTATTAGTTAAAAGCATCCCATCATGAGAGATACTGATCTCGGAGCCCATATGGGATTTGGGTTTTTAAAGAAAAGGAAAGTAATAATCAAATACTTGGTAAGGTCTGACAGTCCTAGTCCTTTTTGGTTTTAAGGGGTGCAGAGTGAAAACCCTTGTACTGTGCCTGGAGTTCTTCTTTAATAGTGATGATGAAAGAGTATGCTGTACATGGGCTTATTTAGAAAAAACAAAGAGCAATAGGATGCAGTAAATAAAAGATAGCAACTCCCAGTAGCGTGAAATAGGAAAACTAGTAATAGATTTCACCAGTCTTTCTAAAGTAGCAGGTAATACATCAGTACAAAACCTTATGTTCAAACTGGGGGGGGGGACACGTTTCCCAACACCAAACCTTTTACTGCAAGGTTTATTCAACTTAGCCTAAATGTTACACCATATATGCTCTCTCCTGTTTAATTTCAATCTCTAGTTGTTGGAGACTCCACACACAGTCAGAGT